AATTCTAGGCCTGATTGTCCCTGGGAACCACCTGATCCAGTTTAGGGCTGTAGCTACCTTTAGTATTGTTTCAAGCCTGAGCCAGGCGGGTGGAGCAGGGCCACCAAGAGATAAGGAGGCTTCTTCCAGATAGAATGAGGACTCTGGCCATGTCCAAGCTGAGCCAAGGGGTGCGGGCCTTTTTGCTCTTTCTCCATGTCCCCCAAGTCCTTGTCTGCTGCCCATACAAGCCGACATCTGGCTTAGGTCGTCCCTCCTCTTGAGAGAACTTACTTGTCATCAACAAGCAACCATCACAGGGTCAAGCGGGGTCAAGCGAGGGGGGGCAGGGGCTGTGCCCCTGCCAGGGGGACAGGTTTTGTCTCCTTAGTGGCCTGTTTTCCCAAGGCCTCCTTGATCGGCGCCAGCCTTGGGGTCCTCTTGCCTGTTGGTGAGGCTACAGTCCCTGAAACCAGGCGGGGTGTTTCCCAACATCACCACCTGTGTTTTGCCTGGAGCCACCTTTCCTGACCTATAAAGCAATCTAAAATGGCTGCTACTTGTGCTGGGCTTGGCAATTCCTAGGTGAAGCCAAGCTGTGAATCTAGGCTGGCTACTGCTAGTACTGGGCCTGGTGCCACTTAACAAGAGTTATTAGGTATGAGGGCTCCCTGAGACTGGCTCTGGCTTACTTGGGAGGATTTTGGAAGTTATGAAGGATGAGCTAAGACCTGCCATTCTTATGGAAGAAGAGCTTGGTGGACCCCTAAGTGGAGTGGTTCTGGGTCTCTGGGGATCTCCAGGGTGAGGCAAACAATGTTAGCCAGGTGGATGGAGTCTCAGATATGGCACCTGTCTGCTGGCTCTGTGGCTCTGTGTGGGGTGGGTTTCGAAAGGAGGCAATGGCCTCTGCTGCATTTCTGTCTGGGAAAAGGCTGTTCCCCGGCTCTCACCTTAATGCCAGATGCTTCAGCTCCCCCCTGTCTGCCACTGGTGCCTTTCAAGGTGCTACCCTGGTCCTGGTGCTCAGGGAGAGTGAGTCTGAGTAAGTCCATATGTGGGTTCATAAGGGGAAGTACTTGGGACTCCAGAAGTTTCTACCACTGGACTCAATCCCTGCTGGTTTTTGCAACCAGAAATTATGGGGATTTATCGTCCTGGCCCTGGAACCCACGGCTGGGAGGCCTGGTGTGGGGCTGGGACTCCTCGCTCCCGAGATGTCCCTCCCAAATTTTTATCCACCCCAAGTGGATGTGGGACCAGCCCATTCTGCATCTCTTCCCCCTCTTACTAGACTGGATAGGTGTGGTTCTTTAATTCTGTAGTTTTCAGACTTCTGAGTGATGGTTGTTTTGTAGTTTAGTTGTAATTTTGATGTGGTTGTGCGAGGAAGCAAACCGTGTTTAGCTGTGCTGCCATCTTGATTAGAAGTTTATTGCTCGCCAACTCTTGATTTAGGTTTTAAAACTCTTGAGGCTTGAGTGTGTTATTTTGAATTAAAGAAAACCAGTGGGCATATAAAATTAAATTATAGAAAAGTTGATGTGTAATTAAGAATTTTTTCCCCAAACATCCTGAATATATTTTATCTCAAAGGATATTGATGAATTCTTTTAAAAGATGTTGCAAATAACTGTTCACAAGAGACTGTATCTCCAAAATCACTTGTTATTTTTTATTTGAAGATTATTAGAAACTATGTACATGCTACTATTCACCATGAAGATTAATGGAAAAGTTTTATCTGAGCTAATATATCTTAACTAATAAGGTTGGTGTGCTTGACAATTTTTACAATGCATAATCACTTAAAACCATTTTTAAATAATGCAGATGTAGTCTAATGTCTCAATATGGGTACACATAATGCTGTCTGTTTCTGAGTTTAACATAACGTTTGACACATTTTGGCTTTTGATTAGTTATATAAGTTTAATGGAAAATATAGCCTCATAAAAGAATGAGGGATGAGTTAGTAAGCTCCATCACTTAGTCCTGTGTCTATCTTACTGTTTTTTTTTTTTAAATTAAGGACTCCATGTGTCTACTGATCACCAATAGTACATTTAGAAACAACTTCATTATTTCTTTGTATTTTCTTTCTCTTCAACTAGGGGATGAGCTCCTTGAATGGGAATGCCTCTTATTCAATTTTTGTATCTTATGTCTGGTACATTTTCAGTGCTCAATAAATACTGATCAAGAGAAAGAGAGAGAGAGATTGAGATTGGTTGATTTGCTGTTCTACTTATTTATGCACTCATTGATTGATTCTTGTATGCGCCCTGACCAGGGATCAAATCCACATCCTTGATTTGTCAAGATGACACTCTGACCAACTAAATTATCTTGCCAGGACCTCAATAAATATTTTTTGATTATCCATTTTTCTGAAATTTCCTCTATCCCATCTTTTGGACTTCTTGATGCTTTTTTCCCCCTTTACTTCTGACTACTTTAGAAATCTCATCCTCTTTGGTTCTTTTTGAATATATCTCCCTTTAGCCCATTGGGTAAGTGGGTCTTCTTAACCACCTGGGAACTCCTCAGTACTCGGCCTCAGGATGTACATGTTTGTGGGGACAGCACCAGGCACAGTGCATAGCACATAAGTGGTGATCAATAAGTTAAACATTCTATATGAAGAACTGTATGTTAGGAAGTGTTTTTCAATGAATAGTTTTATTTACAGTACTGTAATAAATCCTGTGATTTTATTTGGAAATGTTACCATACAAATACTGTTAATAATTAGGGAAAAAGTAAAACTATGGATCCAAATGTACAAAATTATCCTTCCATAGACTTATTGAAATATAGAATATATACTTTTACCCATTCAAAAATAAAATGTACACATAATTTCATTGTTGTGAACAAAAGGTAAATTCATGTATTTCTTTTTCAGGTGGTTGTTCTTTTTCTTCTTTTTTTTGTCCTTAAAGGAAGGGTTTATTAAGCCATACGTTAGCCTGGAACATACAGTGCCGTCTACATCACCAGCAGCAGGGCCAGATCGGGAAGACTACCATGTCCCCAGATTGCTTTTCTTTAATATTAGGATTAACTTTAGATATGCTAGGAGAATATTTAATATTGTCCCTCCCTGCCACTGCAAATTGAGAGAACTGTATTATCTTAACATATCTAGGAATTATGTAATTATATATTCTATTAAAGCACCCTAAAAAGCGGCAAGTTACTGATTGATATAATGGTGAGATTGGATCAAGTAAAAGTGAATTGCCAAGACTGTCCTGCATAAAATCACTGTTAGCAAAAAAATCACTGTTAGCAAAAATGATTCTGCTGGTAATTTTGTTTGAAGAAATGCGTAAGAGTGAATGGTATTATATGATTTCTAGAAAGAAAAAATACCATACATGTTGCAGTAGTTTTTGTGAGGAGAAAAAAAATCATAGTTAGTGATACTGAGAGGTTCCCAAGGTTTTGCTGGGAGACAGAGGGGTCTGTTTTGACAGGACATCTGTCTTGTCTCTGCTGTTACCCCATTAGCCTCTCTCTGAACCAAGTCCATTCTAACCACGGCGCGATGGCCTAACACACCATAGAAATTACATTATTATGTGAGCCACAAAATCAGCCTACCTGCTATAGAAGAAAAGCTTAAAAGCAATCATTTTGAAAAGGTCTTTTACACTGCTGGTGATTTCAACGCCATGAATTCCATGTTTTCATCCCTCTCCTCCCACTTTTCCTTCTCAAGAAAGTGACATAATGGCTTTCAGTTGTACCTCTACACACGAAATGTTTCTATCTCTCTTCTGTAGTTCAACCAGTCAAATTACTCTGTAGATGTTGAGTAGGAGGTGAGATCAGATCTGAGAGCCAGTAAGAATTCTCTTCCTTTATCACCATCCTCTACACTGACATTTCAAATCAGTCATCAAAATGTAGCTAAAGGCAGCTGCTGTTTGGTTGGTGGCTCTGGTCAAAGTAGTATCGACCTGACTTCCTTTAGTGGGTAGACTTGCCTTGGTAAGTATAACTCAGATGTGCTAAGTCTAGTACTTATTTCAAATGGGATAGATCGGTTGACTATTTTTCTATTTCAGAATTCACTTTCTAGAGACATTGCAGAATAGAATGCTTCAGTGACTGTTTATCTGAAATTAAATTTGGTGTATGCATTTCCAGTGTCTACCTCTGTAAAGCAAAATACTTATTTTTGAAACTTACTGATATATTAGGCAAAAAGTGTTTCATATTGCTGTCCATTATTTTGGTACATATTAGATTTCATTAGGTAGAATTTTTATGTAGTAAAATTTCATTGTAATAAATTTGCTCTTTGTAAATCTTGAAATTATTGAGTATTATATTTTACTGTAATTATTATAATATGGTTCTGAAAAATTTCACATCCACTCTTAACTTGATGCTTATTGATAATGGTTTACAGAACCACAGACTTTTAAGGATCATTAGAATCTGAAGATTTAACTGCTTTTTAGTCCTGCAATACTCAGTAAATTAATAAAGTCCTCTGTGCATTTTTCTTCATCTGTAAAATTGGCATAATAATAGGTGCCTACATCATAGGCCTCTTGGAAGAATTAAGTGAGTTAACACTTATAAAATATTTAGACAGGAGCCTGGAATTTAAGAAGTATTCAATAAATGTTAACTGCCATAATAATTATTATTAATTTTTATATTATATAGAGATTGAAATGGTCTGTACATATAGTTAATAGATTGGCATAGCAAATAAATTCTGTTCAGCTGAAATCCAAGATCTGTTTTTCATGTCTACATATTAGCAAGAGACTAATTTACTTAACTAAGAGGATATTTATTGAATTTATGCATTGGAATATATCATTTCCCTCAAGGAACTTTTACTGAAAACACTAAATATAAGAGTAGGAGAAGTGCTGTATGAGTAAGTGGCTGGAGTATACCAGATGTGGTGTAGAAAGTTGGCTTATCTGAACTCAGCGAATCTTACACTTTGTAACAAATTGTATGACAAGCGCATGGTTTCTGTTCTTGAGCAGGTTTCTGCATGTTTGTGCTGAGCTTGGTGAAGAAACATTATCGACTACAGTTTTATATGGTATGTAGTAATCATTATTATGTAGGTATCATATAAACACCTTTAATTTTTTTCTGTAGTGAGAAAATAAAATGTAATTCTTGTTGACACCTAAATGTGAGGGATATTTCAAATTTTGGGTGACTATTAAATACAGAAGGTTAACATGAAACATTTTTGAGGATTTTAAAATTTTAACTATTTTCAAAGTTTACTTAAAGCTTTTTCTTTTAAATATTTTCAAAGGCTATTAAATTAAAACCAAGTATTTTGATTCTCTAAGTTTGTAGAAATTTAGGAATCCATTGATTCCTAAGTAGTAGGTCTGAGAAGCATCTATTTCTCTCTATGGGAAGTAACTATGTTTGACTTGCTTTTAGTTTAATATAACAAGGAACCAAGCATGTATTTTCTCGGTAGCTATGGTTAGTCATACAACTGAATAATTCTTTTCGGCCTGAGGTATTTTATTCAGTTATGATTGAACAGTGTTGAGTGTTTTATGAAATTTATCACTATATATGATGAACTTTTCTTATATTCTTAAAAGGTAGCTACTCAAAAGACTAAAGTGAAAAATGCAATATTTAGATGTGAATTCATGTATTAGTAAGGCTTGTTTTAGACTTGGAGTGTATATCCTATTTGTTATGCTTTGCTTTTCTCCATTAAGACTTCCTGCCAAGCATTAGTGCTGAGAAATTGTAATATACTTTCCTTTCTAATTTCTGGAGACCTAAAGAGCAAAAGAGAAAAATTCTCAATGAAAAATCTAGAAACCATCAAGACAAGTCAGAAATAATAGGATCTCTTTTGGAAAATAGAAATGATGCCTATTCGAAAAATAGCATTTTTGCATTTTTGAGCAACCAGCATAAAAGAGAATTGGACCCCTTAAGCAGATAAAAATAAAATAAAACACCAATATAATATTATTTGCTGAAATTAAAAAATAGTTTCATTTCGAAAAGTCATTTTGTAAATTCCAATCAAAATTATGACACTGGTACATAGAAGTGTTGGCTTTTTTTTTTCCATTCACATTCTACTCATACTTATGATGCTAAAAGTCACTGAAGTGTCCATTTCTCAGGCTAGAAGTATTTGAAACACAGAGGGCTTTGAAAATTTGAGCTGTGAATAGCAGCGTTCAAGTATGAAAAGATGGAGTTTAAGGGCAGTCGATCTCTGCTCATTTGAATCATTTGAATTTAGAAATAACTCTTTATGGGAAGGGAGTTACCATACCATAATGAATTCAGAAAGAAAAATAGAGTTTTGCATTTTTAGTAACTGCAGAATACAGCCAGAGTAACATGTTCCTCTCTAAATGCCAGAACACCACCATAAATTTCTCATTATCATTTTAATCTGATGGTTCAAGATTATGGTTTATTTTTATATGTTTTTAAATTTATCTCAGTATTATAAGTATTCCATTTGTATATAAATTAAGGTTGCTTTTTAAAATGTTTTCATGGTTTTAAGGTTCCAGTAGGCACTAAAATGAATTTGCTAACAGCACTTATTTTGTATGATCTTATCTTAAAAAATTTAACCAAAAATCATGCTAGAAATTTGCATTTAAAAATTGTTATTGCTTCCTGGGCTGCACTGTTCAGTTGTGTTCACTAATTGTTGTGTTGTTGGGCTATTAACAGTTCGCATGGACTCATGTCACTTTACTGATAACAGTTACTCAGTCACATCTTGTCATCCAAAATCTGTTTGAAGGCATGATATGGTAAGGGGGCAGAATAACGCTGCTTTATATTTATGTCATAGCATTTTTAAGGCTCTTTCATGTTGAACAGTGTCTTAAAAATTTCTACTAAAATGTGCTATTTGTGGTCACTCTGTTCCATTAAAATTGCTTACTAAGTTTTGTTTATTTTAGTATTTGACATTTGAAGACGAATGCGTAATTATCTGGGAATATTCCTTATTTAGGTTCCAAATTAAATGAAGAATGTCCTTATAAACGTTCCAACCAATCAATTACATTGTCAGATTTTCCTACATTTTAATGTGACCTTTTTTTTTTTTTTTTTTTTTTTTTTACAAAGCATAGCTTATAAAAGAGCATATTATTTATGTGGAATGCAAAAAGAACATGAAAGTTTGCTTGCCGGCACTGTGCTGGCAATGCATTTTCTCTAGGTGAAAGCTGGGTGGGTTCCACTCTGCCTGCATGTAGGAGTAGGTGTTCAGATTTCAGATGTATGCAGTTACTTGCTATATAGCAGTGGCTTGCAGATTCAGAAAGCATTTTCATAAGTTAAAAATTTAAAAAAATATTACTGGTTAAAAATTAGAGTGGAGAAAAATGAGTTTAAGAAATCTGACCATATTTTCCCCAAATTTTAAAAACTACATTAGTTAAAATTCTTTTCAAGTGGTTTTGTAAAAATAGTTTTCTTGGCAGCTTTGGGATTTTTAGCCAAGTGTGTGTGTGTATACAAGCTTTTAATCGATGGGTGGAAGTTACAAGATTTGTAGATTCTGTATAATTAGTAGGGTTTAATGCAGCAATAGGCTATGATAGAATTGAAATTGATATTTTTTTCTGAAAGAGAATTTGTATTAAAAGCTTGGTATAAACTTAGCAGATTGTACTCTATCTAAATCAAATGACTCATTTCCATTTTGAAAGGCTGTTTTTAAAATTTTCTTTATACTATTATAACTTGTTTCTCATAAAACTGAAATTTAAAAGTCCATGGCTATAGAAATTGATGATTTAATATTAAAATTAGGTTGACTAATATGTTCCTTATTAATATTCTTATGTGTTTACAGATTTTGCTCTGCTTAAATACTAAATGGGCAAATTTAGTTTACATTTAATGTTTTTAGTAATGCTTTGGGAAGTATTGTGCTCTGAACTAGTGTGCAGTATAATTCAAAGGATTATTGTATTGGTTCATTATGAGTCATAAACTATGTGTGTGTGGCGGGGGGTGGAGGTTGTGTGTATGCCACTTAATCATATGAACTTTTCTCTTTTGACATTTTTTTTTTTAGGTTCCTTGTCCCAATATCAAGTGTTATCTGCAACGACATAACTGCTTATCTTTTTGGATTTTTTTTTGGGAGAACTCCATTAATTAAGGTAATTAAAAAATATCAGAAGCAAGCCACTACCATAACCATAAAGATTAGCCACTGGAGAAAATTTCCAACGTGGAGCTGTTGCTCGTTTTCGATTTCCAAGGGGCTCTAATTTCCCTGAGCTGTGCTCAGCGTCAGAGGCGGGGCAGTGAACCACCTTTTCCAGGCTGTCCTCTGGGTTCTCCAGAAATCTTTCTTTTGGCTCCTCAGTATGGGCTTGACACCATCAGTAATCCTTTCTCCCATGAAGGCCCAGTTCCTATTTCCACTGGTCTCTTCCTCCAGCTATTGCGTAGTTCTCCCAACAAGCCTTTCTTTGACTCTGCTCCTCCACAGCTGTCTCATCTATCCCCTCCTTTACCAAACATTTTGAAAGTGTACGTTACACCATCTTCACATACTCATGTCCATTTGTAAGACTTTTACACCTAAATTCATTTAAAAAAAAAATGAGGCCCTACAATACAATATGGATAATGTAAGCAATAAGGAAAGGTTAAAATAAGGGAAAGTACATGTGAGCAGACCATGTTGTTTTGTCTTAGATTTGTTTGGTTCTTTTGACAGTCAGGAGGCAAAGAAGGAAATGAATGAAGTTATCAGTTCTCATTTGAGGAAAGAAAGAAACAAACCAGTTTTCTAAAAAAAACCCTTCCATAAATTCTTTACCACAGAGCAGCTCAGCACACGGCCTCAGGCCGAGCCCTAGAGGGACAAGCAAACTGCTTTCTCAGGTTTCTAACACTGCTTCTGCACAAGAGCAAGTGATTCAAGACTTCTACACCAGCTGAGCAGTTTGGCTTAGGAAGCCTTTGGAGAGGCTGTGACGGCTGTGGAAGACTCATTGTCTGATTTCGAACATAGATTTCTAGTGAATTCACAGGGCTGGATTAGTTGCATAACATATTCAGATGTAATTAAGTAAGTTCACCCCTAAATCAATATGCTGTGGAACAATTTACTGTGATAAACTCTCTTTCAAATAATCAGCAGGCATTTGAATTTCAGTGAATTCACAGTTCATGGCCATACTACTGAATTATCTTAGGAGAAGGTGTATGCAGTCCCTTTGCCATGTCAGGATTGTCAAGAAACCACTTTCGCCAACCCTCTTGACTTTGAGCTTTATGAACATCATAAGAGGTCTATAAAGAGCTCATGTAGCTCAGGTATTACCCACCTCTGTCTGCAGAAACTTCCCTGGGATATTCATTTGGCTTCCACCTCTGCTGTTCCACTGAAAGGTTCATGACAGAAGCCATCAGTGATGTGATGACCAACTGCCTATATGTCAATGCTTAGGCTTAAAGGGCACCGAGGCAGTGAGTTCAGTCGCCCCTACGTGGTTTCCTCCTGCCCCTGCAGCACCAAGTTCCAGGCTTCCCTCCAGATTTCTCTTCCCGAAAGCCTCATTGACTGAGGAACAACTGCTCTAATCTGAAACTAACAATCTCTGTTCTTAGAAGTACAGCATTTTCCTTTCTTCATGGAGAAGGATGTGCAAATACTTGGGGAGCACATTCTGTATCTGGGCCTGTGGACCGTTTTGCCATTTCAGAAAGAAGCCATTGTCTGCATGGCCTCGGGAATACATGGAAATCTGTGTACTACAATGTCCATGTGTAGTTATCCTCATTCTATTTTTGCTGTATGTCTGATGTTTGAGGGCCTAATATATGTTACATACTACTAGAGAAACTTGCAAATAAATTGTCATCATGGAATGAAGAGAAGGTTGCAAAGCCATTCCAAGAATAAGAAAGGAGATGTACAATGTATTGTGGGAATACACTGAACAGAGCTTGCACAAGTATTGTGTGTTTTATGGGTGCACTAAATCTCTTTAATTTTATTTGCCTTTTCTAGTTGTCTCCTAAAAAGACTTGGGAAGGATTTATTGGTGGTTTCTTTTCCACAGTCGTGTTTGGATTCATTGTGAGTTTTACTAAAATTTTTATTTTATTTATATTTTGAAAAATGTTAGCAAGTTTGTCAGTCTATCTTAAACCTGAAAGAATTAAACCACAAAATGCTAATAACGTATCTATTGAAACCCACTAACCAGACTATTCTGTATGCCACTAACTCTCTGAGTCGGAACCACCTGGGGAGCTTAGTCAGCATCCCTGTCCCAGCCCTGGCCCAGGTCAGTCAGCCCCCAAGTTCATTCTGATGTACCACTAGGCCTGAGACCCTCTGCTGTGCTGTTGGGCATTAGCAATTTTGATCAGCTGTTTGGCCTTGTGGGGGACACAGGCGCTGGACCAGGTAGTGGCCTTGAGTAAAGCAGAGAGGGCAAGTGATGTTTAAGAGCGCTGCTTCCTTTACACTTGGTGCTATTTGACTTAGCTAGTGCTTCCTGCTGTGAGCCCAACGGGCAGCAGAATTGGTTAAAAATAGTTTATATTCACTTTTAGCCACGAATAATTGGTATTGTTATTGTTTTAAAAATTAGTCTGCAGTTATGGAATGTAGGTTCTTGTTAAAAGGTATCCCATAAGAATCAATAAAGTAAAATGGCTGGATATAAGATAAATATATATTTAAAAAATTACTGTTAGGGCCCTGAACCAGTATGGCTAAGGGAGTTGGGCCATTGTACCGCAAAGCAAAAGGTCACTGGTTCAATTCCTGGTCGGGGTGCATGCCTGGTTCGCAGGCTTGATTCCCAGTTTGGCACGTTTGAGGGGCAGTTGATTGATGTTTCTGTCTCACATTGATGTTTCTCTCCCTCTCTTCCTCCCTTCCCTTCCCCTCTCTCTAAAAATAAATAAATAAAATATTTTTTAAAAATTAAGAAGTTTAATTTTTTTAGGAGTGCAGTCCCCAACAGTTCTAGAATATATTCCATAGCTAAACATAAAGTAACTCAAAACACCACAGAGCTTTGAGAGAGAGCAAATATACAAATAAATGAAAATGTATCAGATTCCTGCCTGGGAAACCATAGTAATTCCTCTGTAATTTGCAAGTTCAGTTCATTCTCAATGAAAATTCCAATTGGATTTGATTAAAATTCATGAGTGTTTATGTTGTAGAATATTGATGTCCAGAGTAGTAAAAAGGGCTTTGATCCTGTCCAGTGTTTATATATTACAAAGCAGGGATAGTTAGAATATTATTAAATTAAATAATACTACAAGAATTTGGTATTATTAAAGACTAATTTAGAAATACTACAAGAATAGCCATATCATTGGAAGAAAATAAACAGCTACCCTGTAAGAATGTAATGCCTGACAAAAATAATGAGGAGGAACATGATGTATTTTTTAATAGATAATTTTGGGGAAACTGGTTAGAAGCCAAAAATCAGTTTATTACCATTCCTAGTGTCAGTTTGCTCTTCTATTAACCATTCTTGAGCAATATAAAGCAGTGAATGGCTATAAAAGAAGAGAGAATAGACTGTTGTCTAACAATTTAAATTTAAAATAAAATAGTTTGATTTATGTATTTTCTTCCACAGCTAAGAACAGCTATATTAAAAATTGCAGTGAGGTAGTCAGGAAAAGAATCAAGTTTAGTCAAAGTGCTCTGGGCTGATTAAGAACAACAGTGTAAGAACTTCAGCCCTGTCTCTCCCGTACCTTAATAATCATTATGCCTCTGCTAACATTAATGATATGTACTTTAGGAAAGTCAAACCTTGCTGGAATCCTCGTTTGAGTGTTTAAATCAGCTTCTTTTTCTCTCTTGCCTTCCCTCTTTTTATTATGGTCGTATAGAGATAATCTCACTGATTTTGAAAATGCTGTTGGTTTTCCAATGGCATTTCAGAGTCTTTTATTCGGTCAGGTTAGACTCTTGAACCTTGGGAATATATAGCAGAACTTGAATGTAAAGAAACTTTGGCATTTTATTTCTGGCCTTTGTGCTGACGCTAAATACACACACAGATGCACATGCAGTTTTTCATGCAATGTTTCATGAGCTCTTGCTTTGTTATTCAGGCTGCCTATGTGTTATCCAAATACCAGTACTTTGTCTGTCCAGTGGAATACCGAAGTGATGTAAACTCCTTCGTTACAGAATGTGAACCTTCAGAACTCTTTCAGCTTCATAGTTATTCCCTTCCTCCCTTCCTGGAGTCAGTGTTGAGACAGGTAAGATGAATATGGGTTTGGATCCTGTATCCCCCAAATTAAGATTTTCATAAGAAATTAATTTCTGTAGAATTTTTAAGTCTATGATACATGAGTGGTTTCACTATCTGCTTAGCATCAATAATTTATTCTAGCACTGTGTAATTTCCCTTTCTTGAAGATAAAATGAATATTACTGTGATAAACCTGTGGTTTATTAAGAATTTACTTGCCTAATGGTTTGAATACTGATGGTAAGTTATCTTGTATTTGTTTTGAAAACATTTAAAAATATTTCTTATATTATGACAAATTGAATTAATTACAATAAGTTTCATATGTAACTGGCATGGATTGACTCCATTTAAAAGGAATTAACAGTCACCAGCTCAAAGAGTCGTTGATTTTTTTTTTTTTTTTAAGGCAACCTTTACTAGTACAGAAAACTGCTCCTAAAAATCAGTTTCCTAGGTAAAGAGATTGAGCAAAACAAACAAACAACAAACAGAACAGAACAGAAAAACCAAAACTCATAGACACAGACAACAGCCTGTTGATCACCAGGGGGAAGGGGGAAGAGGGATGGGGGGAGGTAGACGGGAATGAAGGGTGGACAAATGGTGAGAGAAGGAGACTTGACTTGGGGTGGTGAACACACAGTACAGTGTACAGATGATGTGTTGTAGAACTGTATACCTGAAACCTATAGAAAATTTTTAACCAACGTCACCCCAATAAATTCAGTAAAAAAATCAGTTTCCCTTTCAAAGGCGCACTGCTGCCATTGAAAGGCAACCTTGAGGTCTCACACTAAGGATGTTGACGTGTTGCCCAGTAGAGCCTTGCTGGGGACGCTGGCAGGCCTGGAGCGTGCTTGCTTACAGTGGGGAAGCAAGCGGTTGCGTTGGTAACACGTGTTCATGTGTATATCTGAAACATTTTAACTAAAGTCCATAACTTTGAGAAGAGGTTAACCAATAAATTATTTCTCTCCTTGAGTGCTCAGTACATGGATTCCAAGAATTTTCTTTCAATGTCCAAGCCATCTGTTATCTGCTGTAAAACTTGATATTGCCAATCTTTAATTAGGTTTGGAAAAAGGTCCAAAGATTGGTGTTCTCAGTAGTGGTTATAAAACCACACCTGCTGTGCACTGTCTACAGTTTGTAGTTTCAGTTTATGTGAAGTGGAGCAAGAAGAGAAAAGTGGAGCAAGAACTAAGAATTTAGAAAACAATTTGCAGAATTCTCAATTTTTATGATCTCTGCAAATCTTTTATAATTGTCTTGTGGATGCACATTTTGGTATACTTTTAAAAGCAACTTATTTTCACTTGTATTCCACAGCACTTAACTTAGTATTAAGAGAAAGACCAACTTTTCCCTCCCTTTGTCATAAAATTAAAGTGAAATACAAAATTAATTATATAATTACAAAAACAAAGTGCTACTCGTAAAAATATTTAGGCATTGACTCACCTGATTCTTGGTAAGTCTACAACTCAAGTGCTGTAGAACTTTCTGGGCGCACTGTGCAGTAGCCTGTCAGCTGCAGGGCTTCAGCGCGCCAGGCGCCATGAGCACGTGCGCAGAGGGAACGGGCAGTGCTGGCTGAGGAGGGGATGGTCATGAGAACTCATAGTATATTTTTCTCCCATGCTCCTGGAAGGTTGTGAAAGTAACAAAAATGTGGTAAGTGCGTTGCCTTACTGCTTATGCCACGGCTCCTAGCTTAGGCGGCATACTCAAATACAATTTTAATGCAGTTAGCCCCAACCCCTCCCCTCTTCTGTTCCTCTTTAGGAAACAGTGAACTTGTATCCTTTCCAGATCCATAGCATTGCTTTTTCAACATTTGCCTCTTTGATTGGTCCATTTGGAGGCTTCTTTGCCAGCGGATTCAAAAGAGCTTTCAAAATCAAGGTATGTTCTGTTATATCATTAGAGAATATAATTACATAATGTAATAGAGTTAGAATTTGCTTCTCTGTTGGTCTCACACATTAAGCCTCTGGGCAAAAATCTTTGGTTTCAGCCTCACAGAAATGCTTCCTGGTCGATTTGAGTGTGCTCTTTCTTGTTAGGTTTTGGTCAAGCCATGTCATGTCAGCCTCTTTTATAGAATGGCAAAATGGCGTGTGTTACATAATGTTGGGACAAGCACAGAATCTTGGTCCGTCGAGTGCTCATCCAAGAATCCAGCCAGGAATTGTGTGAAGATTTGTGTCTTGCCACAGTCTCACTTCAAGGGACGGACAGGGGAGCCTTTCCCTGTGCACAGGGGAATATGTGACCATCCATCCTACTGGATCAGGGGACAGCACACTTTTTTTGTAAAATTGTGTTTGTTAATCATTTCTTAGCTACTCAATTCTGAACTCTGCCATTGTTGTATGAAAGCCTGGCAGGCAATATGTCAATGAGTGAGCATTTTAATTACTTTGTAAATAGTTAATAAAACTTTATTCACAAAAACAGGCAGCTGACTGAATTCAATCTGTGGGCCATAGTTTGCTGATCTCTGTCCCGGATACTTAAAATTACCCCTATGTTCCCCCTGGCTGGTGTGGCTTAGTGGGTTGAGCGCTGGCCTGTGAACCGAAAGGTCACTGGTTCTATTCCCAGTCAGGGCACAAGCCTGGGTTGTGGGCCAGGTCCCCAGTTAGGGGTGTGCAAGAGGCAGTTGATCCATGTTTTTCTCATATGTCATTAATGTTTCTCTCTTTCTCTTTCTCTCTCTCTAGAAATGAATAAATAAAATCCTTTAAAAAATTAAAATCATCCCTATGTTTTAAGTTAGATTTTCATAAAGTGACACATATTTGCCCTATTATCTCAGCTTTTCTCACGTGGCTTCTCTAAGATAAGACTGAATGTTGTGCCATTAGAAGTGAGAGAGGGCAGGCCTCTCTGAGGTGGCATTTGAGCAGGGACCTGAGAAAAGGAGGAGAATGAGTCCTGCAGAGAAATTTAAGGACTAGCATTCCAGCGAATGCGAAGGCACGGAGGAACTAGGTTTCCTGGTGAAGGGAGTGAGAACAGGGTGGCTGGTCAGACTGCAGATGTTGGTGGGCCAGATCACAGAGAGCCCCAGAAGCCAGGGAAATAAGTGAACTCAGTGAGGACTTGAAATGGAGCAGATAGTATGTAAAGTGGGATGCAATATACAGAAGTGTGTAAGATGATGTCCCTGTTCTCAAGATGCTCACTGCACACTAGATAATCCCCGCTCACAAAGAACCACAGCAACAGCCGTGCTTGCCGGTGCCCTGTGGGGCTGCACGCAGCAAGTGGAACTCAGTCTCCCTGGCTCTCTGTGCTTTGGTTTGTAGAGAAGAGAAGGAAGAAAATGTGTTGGCAAAAATTAACCAAGATTTTCTCAATTGTTTTAAACAGAGAAGTGTTATCATTTAGAATGTTATTTTCTTTAATGGTCTCCAATCCAAGGTTTCCTGTTGAATAATGAGATTTTTTTGCATGTCGGAAATGAAAGTGTAATTGTTATTGCGTTTTGGATATTTTCAGGTTGCCTGAGTAAACTAGAAGAGGAAATTAGTCACTCCATTTCCTGGGCATTGAGAAACGGGGATATATCTGTACAATCACTGTGCACAGGCTTACTAACCATCCCCTCCATTCAGTGGACTAATGTGTCCCGGGTGAATTATCTATTTTGATTTCCTTTTCACCCCAACGCTTAAAAAAAGAAGAAACATTTATCATAGTAGTAAAATGTTTATTTCAGAGTCAGAGCTATTAGGATGCATATGAATTAGATAGAACTAGATGTGCATCTGTAACAATAGAATAGCTCCTCAAATAGTTTATGCTTAAACAGAAAAATAGACTGTAAAAATATTAGATTAGCAATAGCTGGTAGCTCTTTTGATTTAGAAAAAGTTTTCTTAATTAAAAAAATGCTACATCTAGTCAATATTTAATTAGTGTTATTTGAATGCTTCTGGTCAATTCAGTAATCACTCTAACATGGGCATGTATTCAAAAAGCGTAGTTTCAGTCTGTTAGAACTCTAATAAGTTTGTATTTAGTGGGAAAACCCAATAGTAAGGTACTTTCCTTAGTGTCCATGATACCAAAGAGACATTCTTGGCTAAGAATTTTATAACAATTGATTTTTTTAAAATTTGCTAATTTGTTGATTTGTTTTTAAAGGACTTTGCAAATACCATCCCTGGCCATGGCGGAATAATGGACAGATTTGATTGTCAGTATTTGATGGCAACGTTTGTGCATGTCTATATCACAAGTTTTATAAGGTACGCTTAGGTTTTAAAAAGATGTTTTCGTACTCGATTTCCTGAAGTTCTCATTTCCGTAGGCATTAGTTTGAATGAGTTACTTTTTCTGTCAGTGGTGATCAGTGACACTGAAAGGGAACCGTGGCCCCTGGAGCTCTGCCACTCCCATCGTAGCCCTGAGCAGTGTGGTTAAATTATAATTATTTTATATGCATTTGAACTTAAAAAAATAGTATATATTATGGTCTTTATAGGGCCAAGTTAAAATCCATTTAATATGGATGGTGCTACATTAGAACATCAGAAGATTTAGTTTCTCAACTTTGGGTATGGCAATGATAGTGAATATGAAAATTAAAAAAGAGGATACAGTAATTCATCCAGTTCACCAGTTACTGCTCGAGGGCCTGTATGTGTTGAGAAACGTTCCTGGCACGAATATCGCTAAGAACAAACCAAACCAAGTCCCTGCCCTCAGAGCTTACATTCTTATTAGAGAGTTGGAAGGAGAAGGAGCAGAAGTGGACAATAAACAAAAATAATTTAGCTTGACATGTGGTTACAAGTGCCACAGAGAAAAGTAAAACCAGCCAGGGGATTATGGTTGTGTGGGTGGGGTGGAGTGGGGTGAGTGGAAGGTACTGTTATTTCCTATAGGGTGGTTTATTCCTGTTTTTAAAACAATGTTTTAGATCTTCCCTGAAACACCCGTTTGGGGTGTGAAAGCTATCCACATGTTAACTTCATTTCCCATGGTCTCTACTAGTGCCTAAGCCATAGAAACCATGGATTTCCTTCATAGATTTATTTGGAGTGAAACTCATATTTATAGATCTCTAAATACACGTTTTAAATATATACCCACAGCAGCATGAGAATTTCTGTATTAACACTTCTTATTTTCTTTCAGTAGCATTGTTAGGAGTGTATATTTTTCTTGAGTAGTTGTTGCTTTATCTATTTCATTAATCTTTTCAAAGGCTCAAATTCTGGCGTTGTGAACTGCATTGCATGTTTGTTTTCTATTTCACTGATGTCCATTCTCATCCTTCATTCCATCATCTTTCTTTAGGTTCAGTCTGCTATTTCTCAAGCTTCTTGAGATAAAACTGACGTTATTGATTTTCAGCCTTTTTGTCTAATATTCTTACTTATGACTGTAAATTTCCTCTAAAGTACTTCTTTATTTTCATCCTAGATGTTGTATTTGTATTTTCATTATTCCATTACAAGTATTTTCTGATTTCCAGTATTATATCTTCCTTGACATGTGAATTATTTAGAAGTGTATTGATTCATTTCCCAAAAAATGGAGATTTTTCTCATTCTCCTTCCTTTGTTGATCTTTGCCTTAATTCCACTAAGGTCAGGAAAGATACTCTGTATTATTTCAGTAGTTAACATTTGTTGAGGCTTGCTCTATGCATCAGTATATTGTCTGTTCAGGTACCGGTTCTGTGTGCACACCAATGTGCACCCTGCAGTTTCTGGTTGGTGTGTTATATATGCGGCAGTTGGGTAAAATTTAGCTACATCTGTACTGATCCTGTTTTGGTTTTTTTCTGCTCCCTTTATCAGTTACAAAGAGAAAGCTTTGTCAAGATCTCCCACTACGATTGTAAATTTACCTGTTTCTTACTTTTAATTGTTTTGCTTTATATATTTTGAGTGTATTAAGTTTATACACATTTAGGCCCGTCATATCTCCCTGTTGAGTCACTCTGAATGTCATTATAAAATGTCCATCTTTATAAACTACTTGCTTAAAGCCTATTTTGTTGGATATTAGAGTAGTTACATCAGCCTCTTCTGGTTAGTGTTTGCATGTATTTCTTGCCCATCGTTTTATCCTTATATTGAAAGTATGTTTTTCTTCTCTAACAAGCATATAGCTGCATTTTGTTTGTTTTGGTATAACCCAGTTGTCTTTGTCTTTTTATTTGGAGTAGTCGGTCTATTTCTGTGATTTATTTACTGATACATTTCAGTATTAGTAGTTAGTGGTTAAGGCCTCAGAACTCTATTTTCAGCAGATGTCATCTTTTAGGCCATTAACTCATCTTCCCCTACCCTCCCCTCCCCTTCCCTCCCCTCCCTTTTTTTCTCCCATGAGGGAGAAATCATGCCGAGCCTTATTTTATGCCATTTGAAAGCAAATATTTAGACTAGTAGAAATACAGTGCTAGTGCCAGGGTGCAGCTAGCTGGGAGCACCTGCTGACAATTTTGCGTTTAGCTGAACTTGCTAGAAAAACCTTCCTTTTCCCTGTGGGCCCCTACTTGGGGTTTATGTTATGAAGTTGCTGAATCTTTTGAAGAAATATTCGACAAGCTGTGTCTTGACTTGAGAGACTAGGGCTGTAAGAGACACGTGGCTGCCGTTTTCTGGCATCTGCACGAGGTGGCCCATGGGATGGTTGCATCTGAGTGCTGTGCAGTTTTTTAAATCCAAGATTCTCATTGTGAGATCACTGTAGAGCAGGCACTTCTTTGTTGCTGGGTCGTCTGCTTCCCATAATTCCACTTGAACTGAACAGTCCTTATTATAAGTCATAATTTAATTACCCATGTAAATGTCTTTCTCTGTACCATTCTGAAAATGTTACTTCTGTGTTTTTCCCATTGGATTTTACAGGCTGCTCTTCTCAAAAGTAAGCCATACTCTTCTATTCAAGTGGACTGTAAAAATTTCAAAGGGTAATACATGTACATTAAAATCTGAATGAGGTTCATTCTGAATATGACAAAGTAGCACTTCAGGAGTTCACACAGGTGATCTCCAGTTTATAAATGGTTGAGTTCTGGAGCCCAGCGGGTGTCGCAGCAGGGAAAAGTGTGAGGGTAGGAGCCCTGTTCTGGGCTTTTTCTGACTCAGAGTGCACCATCGAAGGGTGGGAAGACAAGGGCTGGAGCAGGAATGTTGGACGAGCTCACCTGAAGGGAGCCCCTGAGGGCAGGGCCTTGTGCTGGCTGCTGAGGGCGCACCGCAGCACTGGCCTTAGGCACTGCAGTTCAGCCTGGGCTCTTCTCTCTGCCAAGACCGCTGGGGGCACGGGTGAGGAGGGCAGAGCTCTCCTCCTCCTCCTAACTAGCGCAGATCCGCCTTTCTTTTGACTCTTAGAGTGGGTTTACCTAAGACTCTCTTTGAACAAAGGCTGTGACACCTGTTGGAGATGCAGGTAGGAATTCAGTGCTAGGCCCAGAATCTGTGTGTCCTGTCCCTTGAACATTCATAGTTCCCAGGGGTGTTTCTTCAACAAAATACCTTCCATTGTCTGAAATTTCTTTGAAGCTAATAAGTGAAAGAACATTCTCATGCCCTCATCCACCAGGAATTTCGCTCCTTTCCTTACAGGATAGTTTTTGGGTCTTAGTCAATCTCAGGATTCATTATCTATCCCCATCTCTAATTCTCAGGTTGCTCTTTAGAGATTTTTTTGTAGAGCTCAGATCTGCACCCCTGTATTGCCTAGTATTGTGTCTGGGTTTTGTGTTTGTGCATTCTTACCATAGCTAGACTGTATGCCTCTCAATGGAGAGCCACTTGGAGTTATTTTCCTGCTATTGACACTAACACTGGGCATTAAAGTGGGCTCTGATCAAGAGCTGTTTCAATTCTGTAAAGATTAGTCCTTTACACTTAAATGCAGTGTTTACTTTAAATTGTGGGCATATGCCTTCTTTGGCTCTCTTAAAGTAGCATGAACTTTCTTTTTTGCTTTGTTATCAGGGGTCCAAATCCCAGCAAAGTGCTACAGCAGTTGTTGGTGCTTCAACCAGAACAACAGTTAAATATATATAAAACTCTGAAGTCTCATCTCATTGAAAAAGGAATCCTGCAGCCCACCTTGAAAGTATAACTGGATCCAGAGAGGGAAAGGTTGAATTTGACAATAAGGAGTTCTACAGAAAAGCTCTGCCAGATGAAATTTTGTAAATGTACAGAAAAATGGTTGAAAATGCAATAGATTGAAGTCTTACAGACGTGAATGTTTCTTCTCTGAAATTACTGTGAATATTGAACAAACACTTGATCTAAGTTATGAAATAAGTTGCAAACCATCATAAAAATATCCTGTACTTTTTCTAAAGTGTATTTTCTGATGTGAACTTCCTTTCCCTTACTTGCCATTTTCATAATTCAAAAGACTTGTTTTAAAGAGTCAAATACTATAAAATGAGTAAATTGAGGATGTCTTAAGAGTGCACCTGGCAGTGTGCCCTTTGCACAAATATTTGCTTTTGCACTTGGAGCTGCTCTCAACTTCAGCCGAATGTTTTATGTAAGGCACAACAGGAAGCTAGTTCTCCTCTTTTAGTTTGAAGTATTTTCTGAAGGCCTGACTTGTATCCAAAAAAAAAAAGATTGTCCACTTTTCAAAGTAAGTAATCATTTGCCAGGGGAAAACATTCCACTTTCAGGCAGATTTGAAATTCATGAGAGGTAGACTGAAATTTCTAACTTTATTGGCCAATATCAAATTCTACTTCTGATAAAGTTGTTTGTAAAACTTAACATCGCAAAAACTTTTCAAGAGAAACAAAGGAAAATTCTGCTGTGAAGAACATAACATGTGCACCCTCCACAGATGACAATAGCTCAAGAGACAGCGTAAGACAGTGACTTGGCACAGGCCACCTTTTGGTCAAGTTCTCCACTTTTCCTTGTTTCCTTGTGAACTGGTTTCTATAAGTTTTGTAGCCACAAGCACAAAAGATCAGTGTATAGGGGAGTGAGCAGGGGTGGTGGCTGAGGCAGAGGTGGGGGGCTTGGTTGACCACCTAACCCATCCCTGGATAAAGTTCTGCATGTCAGTGTCCTGGGTGCCTCCCTGCGGTCTGCTGCGTGGCCGATCGGACGCTCACCTGGCAAGAAGGAAGATCTGCCGGAGACCCAGCCTCAGACTCACTCCTTGGGAGCATCTAATCTCTGACCCTTTCCTCTTTCACATCATGTCATAAAACCTGAGGACATCAGCTGATGATATTTCTCTTCCAAGAATGAAAATCAAGCAGAAAGTGATGCCCACCAAGAACAAAAAGCACACAAATGCCAAACCTTTTGCTGATGGACTGGACACTGTAACCAGATGAGGACAAGTTTCTTAGCAGGGAATGTAAATAAGCTAATGTTGCTGTGTGCTCTTTATAACCATACTTCATTGTATCAAAGAGTCAGCAATAAACCTTTGAAAATTGCCTGTTGTTCCTTAGCTACATGTTCAGAGAGGAGAAATAGATATATTTTAAAGAATGTTTTACTAATGAAAAGAGTAAATATTTTTTTGTTTAAATCAGAAACACATTTCAATTATTTTATATTTCTGTTCTACTACTACACCTACAATCAAAGATTGTAGCTATGCCTGGCTTCTACTATAGATATTCCTGGGATGTAACTATAACTAGCAGCTTCATCATGTGCACTACATGATTATAGGGGATAGGAGATAGAGTGAAATTCAGTATCAAGAGAGCATTTCCTTGGTTTGGCGTGCATTCAGTCGATGCCTCACAACTGGATGTATTCGGTCAACATTATTTCACACTGTTCCATGAAAACCTAGAATTGGCATCAGAAATGTTATTACAAGAGAAAATGTGCACTTTTAAAATCAGGCTACCTATAGGCTAATTTTCAGCATCTCATTATTTGCCTCATAAAAGCTCCACATGTCAATCATAAAAGAACTTAGCATACCAAAGTTTAAAAATAAAATGAAAATTTTGTAATAATAACTTGCGTTGAAAACTTGATGATTTGCACAATAACAATTCCTTGGAGATACGCAGTTCCCTTGCATTTTCTTTAATTGCTGAGACAGTGCAGTGCAGAATTATCGAGCATCAGAGAGCATCCCTGAATACATGTCCTGTAAAGTCAATATTATAATAAAATAATTAAGCTAGAAATATTTGGGGTCACAGTAACGGCCTTCCTCAAATATACTTTTAGAGTTGGGTGTACATTATTTATGTAAAAAAAGTAAATTCTTTTAACAGATCTCTCAACTAACTTTCTAGTGAACTTTTTTAACATGTATATTAAAATAGAAGCTATTTTATCAAAAGATATCCGTAAAACCCTTAGATCCTTTTTATATTTGCACTATGAAGAGGGCTTGAATTCTAGTATAGCAATGTGGTGATAGAAAAATGAGAGACTAGGAACTTCCTTCATAGTGATGGCTAGTTGTTCCAAATTTGCTATTTTTGAAGGGACTCTAATGGTACTAATTGCTTTTAAATCTGTGGATACAAATGTTTCCTCAGTGTTTTCCCCTTTGTGGTGGTGCATATATGTTCACTGTCTGAAAATAAAAAGACCACACCCACCCATCTTTTTTTTTTTTCATTTACAGTATCTCTTCATTTGTACTGTGTTTTGAACAAAGATAGTATCACCTTGTTCAAAGAAAAAGAAAAAGTAGAAACAATGTACATATATTGTGTATGGGCAGGGGATCCCTTATTTGTGTCACCTGGTTCTTGAATCTTTTACTTAAACATAGGAAAATAAAACAAGTAAATCACATTTTGACTTTGTTGTGCCATTTTCTCATTGGAGAAGAAACATTTATTCAAGTGTTTACAAAATGATGATGGATAAACATAAGTATTGTATATTACATATTTTCAATCACTAGCAACTACAGTGACAGCTTCAGGGATGGGGATAGTTAAGTTCTGGTGATGACTGAACATGTGTTTGTTGAGAGGTGATATCCTTCTAATAGAAAAAGTACTGATTTTTTAAAGATTTTTATTTTTTAATTATAGTTTATTCCTAATGCTATTACGGTTGTCCCAATATTTCCCCCTTTACCCCCCTCCACCCAGCAGCCCCCACTCCCTCAGGCCATCCCCCCACCATTGTTCATGTCCATGGATCATGCATATAACTTCTTTGGCTACTCTATTTCCTATGATGTACTTTACATCCCCATGACTACTTTGTAAAGACTAGGTACTGGATTTCTATGGCATTTGCCACGGTTTATAATCACCCATGTTGACTTTTGTGACTGATCCAGGTCCCACTAGAACCAGTCCCACTAGGGTTTTAAGTTACATGGATGCCGAATGGCACCTGTTTTGATTGGTCAGTGTGTTCCCAGTGTCTGGCTCAGTGCCAGCATTCCCTAGGCCCTCAAGCTTCAGAACAAATGAATGGGTTTGGGGTCTGAAGACAACTGTGCACATTCCCACTTGTGTCTCTTGGACGGCCCCTCCCTGCCCAACCCATTTTTCTTTAACAAGGCTGTGAGATTGGCTTCATTATTCCTATTGCTGGGGTCACTTTAAGGGTTAAGTAAAAACTTATGAGTGAGCCGATTTGTGTCCAGCCTTGAGGAACTGATTAGTAATCCTGAGTTTCCTCTCTTGCTCTCTGCTCCTCTCTTTTTGCACATCTGCAGTGGGAAGTGACAGTTTGGTAGGACTGAACAGAAAGGTAGCCACGTCGTTAGCCACACTGGATTTAGGCAGTGTTACAGTGTTCTTTCAGTGGCAGACATTTCATCAGTTCATGGCAGTGAACTTGGAACGTCTACCGGACACCCAGCACAGTTTCTTTTGTTCTAGCACCAAGAAAAAGTATTAGAACTAGGAGTTCTCTGCCTTGAGACAGAGGTATATGCCAGATCAGGTGGCTCTTTGTCACAGCAATGACAAATGTATAAACCAGGCCCGGGAAGATGGGACACCACCCTTCCAGCCTCCAAGGGGGAGCTGTCTGCCTGTTTGGATAGTCCACAAACATTTCTCTGCCTGCTTCTGAAACTTACAAAATTCAAAATTCACTTTTTGAGGATGGACTCGATTTGGAAATCTGTAGGTGGTGGCTGCAAATAAAAAGCAGGTCTAGACAGTGGAACCCAAATCAAAATCCATTTCTTCCTTCTTGTGCTTTCCTGTGCAAAAGGGAAAACCTTGAATCATCAGGTGACATCGAGAGTCACTGAGTGTTGATGGATAGTTATCTGACAGTGACAAAGTTTTCAAAAGGAGCAGAGAATACGGTCTGGTTCTCTAATGTAGACAAAGGACATGGATGGGTAAAGCAAAAGCCATGTTGCCCAGAAAGAGAAAATGACTGAGGGGCAGTCAGCTGAAGGTATCTTAGTGGAAGAAATCTCAAACTGCTCGCTCTGTCTCGAACTTACAGCACAACAGGGTATGGAATTTGGAATTTAAGTTCTCAAACCCTCCTTTCCAGTGTGCATCCAGCCGGAGTTTAAGGAATCCAGGTGCTTTTCTATTGAAGAATGTGCAATACCAAACTTCAGACAGGACCTAGAGTAGTAAGTTGGAAGAACATATTTAAATAATCAACTATATCTTTGATCAGTTATCATATATCTCAAAAACGTGTGAAAATAAATCAGAGGCTTCTGCTAGTACAGGTAAGAGACGTTTGAGGGACCAGTCCAAGATGGCGGCATAGGTAGCTCACCACCCCCAGGAACACATCAAATGCATGCCTATCGTTAGAGAAATTCCTCCTCAGAGACAGCTTGGAGCCAGTTGAACAGCTGCACAACAAGCAAGAAACAAGGATGCATAGAGAAGGTTGGGGAACCACAAGAGCTCTCCAGGAGCTGAGGGAACAACCCAGGGCAAGAGGATCTGGTGAGCACCATTGTTTACACTTCCCAGGCTCCTGGCTAATGGGCAGGGGCTGCATCCAGCTTCTCTTGCCAACCTGCAGGGCACTGTAGTGTGTCCCCAAACACCCTTTGTGTAGTTAGAAACAGGAAGGAGCCATAGTGCACCCAAGGTGCCCCTCCACCTGAAAACTGGTTCAGCAGGTACAGCAAAGTGCTGCTTTGCACACCCACTGGGCTGTGTGCACAAGGAGCTCCCCAGCTGCAGAGAATGTGGAACTAGCAAAAATGCTGCTGTACGTGCAGGGATAACCTGTCCAGAGAGTACAGAAATAGTGGCGCACTATGTGCTTATACGGGGCTGACCCTCCTGGAGAGAGTGTGGAGCGAGCAAAACTTTGTAGTACCGACATGAAGGGCTACCCCATGCAGAGTGAGTGGCGTACTGCTGTGTGTGTGTGCAGGTTTGCCCTTTCTGGAGAGGGTAAAAATCTAGCACAATATGGCTCAGCCTGACCTCAAGGCTGCCCCATCCAGTGAAAGGGTGGAGCTGGTAGGGCACTGAGGGGCAGGCACACAGTGTGGCCCCGCGCTTACCCTGTGCTGTGGACATTTAAAGTAACAGGGCACTGACCCAGGGCTGCTACTGTGGACAGAGGTACAGCCAAATGCATGAGGAACTGCACTGTCCAGACAGGAAACAGAGCTGGTGGCATGTTAAGAGGCAAACATGCAAAGCAGCCCCACCCAGACCCTGCTCTGATCACAGACAGTTAACGCAACAGGGCACACCAAGAGTGAACCAAACAGCTCCATCTACATCAGGTAGTCTGACCAAGATTAGAAGCCAAGGAAGCACGCAAACACCAGGCTGCCCTACCGACAACCCACTCCTTACAGCCAGGCCACAGAACAGGCACCACACACAGCTGCCTTGACTACAATTGACCTGTCAAAACTATTCACACACTCTACACAGAGACCACTCTTTCGAGACTGGGAGAGAGCTATTCTATCCACTTCACAGAAAGAAACAAAGTAAAAGAAGAAAAGCAGGCGGAGACAGAAGAATATGCTGCAAATGAAGAAACAAGAAAAAACTCCAGAGGAAAACCCCAATGAAATGGATATAAGTCATTTATACAATAAAGACTTCAAATAAATGATCATAAGGATATTCAGCAAATTTGAGCATACAATAAAGGAACTCAGAGAATACTTCAACAAAGAGGCAATGTAATAAAGAACCTATCAGAGATGAAGAATATAATAACTGAAATGAAGAAAGCATTACAAGGGATCCACAGCAGACTAGTTTATACAGAAGAACAGATTAATGACCTGGAAGATAGAATAGTGAAAATCACTCAATCAGAACAGCAAATGAAAAAAGAATTTTTAAAAAACAAAGAGAGTAAAAGTGATCTCTGGAATATCATCAAGCACCCTCACATTTTCATTATAGGGATTCCAAAAGGAAGAGGAAATAGAGGAGGAAGAAGATCAAAGAGAAAATCAAACAAAATCAAACACTGCCTTGAGACAAATAAAAATGAGAATATAACTTTACAAAATTTATGAAATGCAGAAAAAGCTGTTATAAGAGGAAAGTTTATAGTTATACAGGTCTACCTCAAGAGGCAGGAAAACTCCCAAATAATCTAAATTTACACCTGAAGAAACTAGAAAAAGAGGAACAAACAAACCCCAAAGTAAGCAGAAGGAAATAACAAAAATCAGAGCAGAAATAAACAAAATAACAAAGAAAAACAATAAAAAGGATTAATGGAATTTTTAAAGGATAAATAAAATTGACAAACCTCTCACAAGATTCATCAAGCAAAAAAGAGAACACAAAATCAGAAATGAAAGAGAGATTACAACCAACACCAAGAACCACAAAGGATTGTTAAATAATACTATGATTAATTATATGCAAACAAATTGAACAATCTAGAAGAAACATAAATAAAATTTGAGAAACATGTAACCTTACCAGACTAAAGCAGGAAGCACCAAAGAATCAATGAAATTGAAGCAGTAATCAAAAAAATATCAACAACAAAGACCAAGAACTAGATGACTTCATGGGTGAATTCCACCAAACATTTAAAGAAGATTTAACATATTTCGCCATGTACAATGCTGCGTTTTTGCCCAAATTTTTTAGGAAAAATTAAAGATGCACATTACACATGGGTACTGCTAATTCCATATCTATATAAATGTTTTTAATTCTTTTATTTATGCTTCTGCATTAAAAATGTGGCCCTGGAAAGCAATAATGATATCCATATGTAAAATAATACCCTGGAATGTAATCATTGGTTTTATTTCTAAATATAAATAAATAAATAATTGAATTAAAACCAAAGTTTTTTTTTTCCCTGAAAGTTTGGGCGCAAAACGTGGGTGTGCATCACACACAGCAAAATACAGTAGTACCTATCCTCCTTAAACTATTCAAAAACATAGGAGCAGGGGAAACACTTCCAAACTCCTATGAGGCCAGCTTACTCTGATAACTAAACCAAAGGCTCTATGAGAGAGGGAGAGAGAGAGAGAGAGAGAGAGAGAGAGAGAAAGAGAGAGAATTTACAGTCAATAACCTCAATGAATATAGGTGCCAAAATTCTCAAGAAAATACTAGCAAACAAAATTCAATAGAACATTAAATGGATTATATACTATGAGCCAGTGGGATTTATACCAGGAATGCAAGAGTGGTTCACCATCCACGAAACAATTAATATGATGCACCACGTCAATAAAACCAAAGATAAAAATCATAGAATTGTCTCAATAGATGCAGAAAAGCATTTGACAAAATTCAACATCCATTTATAATATAAACTTTCAACATAGTAGGTACAGAAAAAAATTACCTCAACTTGACAAAAGCT